CCCTAGGGGTGTTAGTGTGCAAGTGTGTTTTGTTGCATACAAGAGTTTATTCTTTGAATTAGGTTTTTCTATTTCATTGATTTTATCTTGTCATACATGTCCTAATTACTAGCAATAAGAAGCGGAAATGTAAAATCCTACGCTATTACAACAATTAGGGGAGGGGGATACACATTTGTACATGGGGGGTTCAACGAGAAAAATAGACAAAAAAGAAAATAGCGGAAAACAAGATATAGAGAGAGAGAGAGGGAGCCCGCGCGCTGTTGGGAGGTCATCAGAAGTTCTGACCCAGATCCGCTGTCAGATGATCAACCTGTTGGTGAAACTGGATGAGTCAGAACTTCTGACTCTAGAACCTGCAAGACAGAACCTTGTTAGTGGGGAAACCAGAAGTTCTGATTTCCCTGCGCTGCAAGACAGAAGTTTGTTAGTGGAGAAACCAGAAGTTCTGATTCTGCTGAAAAGGCAATAACTCTCAGAGGTTCTGATGTCATTGACAGCAAAACAGGCTTCAGATGTGCTAACGTCAAAGTCAGCATTTGGCTTTTCCTTGTACTAATCAGAACATCTGCAATTCTGTTATTACTCCACAAAACAGGAAACATATTGGGAACAGATCCAGCAAAAACAGCAAAAATGTTTCAGAGGGCAGAATCACCAAGGTCAATAGGCAAGTCCTGTACTGGCTCAGAACGTTCTGAGGTATGAGAGTTTTTAGAACATAAACAGCAATAGCATGAATATTTACATTATGTTACTTGAATATACACAGCTGATGATGCTTAACAGTGTGATGAGGGTCAGCAGGTGCTTACCTGACTGTTTGGAAAAGTTGGTGAGTGAAAGTTTAGCTTTTGGTTCTGGTTCTGGTGGTGTTCTGGACAGATTTGGAAAAGGGGAAGTAAAGGTGTATGCGTGTATAGGGTCAGAAGTTTGGAAAGAGCGTTTTTGGTTTACAGAAAAGAACTGGATATTTGATGAAGTTTGAAGGTGAGAAACTCGAAGTTATGAAACAAAGCTGGAGATTTTGGCAGAGTTTCAGAAGGCTGGGTTGCTAGGAGTTTTGTTTTTCTCTCAGTAATTTTTCTGTTTCCTTTTTTTTGAATGCCTTTCTGCAGTGGTGAAGCCTCTCTATTTATAGGCAAAGTTCTTGTGGATGCCTTGAACATTTAAGGCGCCAACAGAGTTTGAATTTGTTCTTTGACAGAAATTCCTGGGAAGTTGTGATAACAGCTAGCTTTCAGCCTAGGTTGCAGCAGCAGGCGTAGATTGGGGAGAAGTGACCTCTGAAGTGGGTGGTGGCGTGAAGACCCATGCCAGAATCTGTGCAAAAGCATTTTCCAAGCCACACGTGAATGCTCAGGAGTGGTTGGGAGCATTAATGGGCATTAAATGGTGACAAGACCTGTCAATACCAACGTTCTGGTAATGCAAACCAGCGTTGAATCAACAGCGTAAACCATGCTCTGGCCTTGGCTACCTGTTTCCTTAGTAAGCTCTGGAGATTCTCCTAGTTTTCTGGTACGTTCCTTGGATTTACTTCTGGACAATCTGGACTTAGAGATTCTGTATCAGTGTAACACCCATTCTTCTGACCTTTCATCTTCTGATTTCAACCTGTTCTGAAGGAGCCTTCAGACTTAACTGCTTCTCTTGCATTCCTTTAGCAAATTCTGACTGAACTTTTGTAACTGCTGAAGGGGCATGTTCTGTTTGAGGCTTACATTCTGAACCACGTTTACAACTTCTGATAGAACTGATGTAGCTGCTGAAGAGCCAACTTCTGACCACGCTGAGCCAAGCTTGCAACTTCTGACCGTCTTCATCTGGAATGGGTCCAGAAGTTCTGAAGCGCTGATTTTTCTAAAAACACTTATTTTAGAGAAACATTCTAAGTATTTAGAATTTGATTTTTTTTTAAGATAAAAGTGTTGTTTCTGGAGTTCGTGAGATCATCTTGCTCTTGTAAGTGACTTGTTTGGGCAAAGGGATAACTCAGGACTTGGATTTGTTTCAGAGGGACTTTGAAAAATCCAAGATGGTTTCCTGAAGAAAGGGGAGGGCAAATTTTGGGGTACAACACCATGGTTATAAAGGTGTTGACTTTTCCACTTGAGTGCTAGAGGTGTTCTCAAACTCTCACTCTTGCTGACGCAGGGTCCATCTTTCTCACACCTTGTGGGCGTTAGTCAATATTTCTCTCCTAATAATGACGACTTGTCTCTTTGATTAAAATCAATCAACAGACAAGTCTTTTCTAACCGAACTACGGTGCTCTGACTTCCCACTGCACGAGGGAGTACGTAGGCACTAAGTCTTACGACCCAAGGCGAGCAACAAAAATAATAATAAAAACATTTCATTTTCTTTTATTTACAAATACTCATTCATTCTTTCCTTTAGCAAGTAAACTTTTACATAACACTCCTTTTAAAAGAAACTAAACAATGTGGATCCTGCGGAGTATCGTAGATGCTTATGGTGCTAATACCTTTCTTTTACATAACCGACTCCCGTACCTCGATCTCTGACCTTTTACTTCATTGTGGGGTTTGTTCGCTTTTTTCCAATTTCCCTTTGGAAATAATAAAATGCGGTGGCGACTTCATTGTGTTGAGATAAGTCAATTGATGGCTTAAATCTCAAATCTTTACAGCTATATTTCTTTTCCTATCATCACTGTCGCAATCTCGTTCATCTCTACTCGTCTCTTCGATGACGGTGATTTTATGCGCGACAAGAAGCAATCTTGTAAACATAAAACTTGTATTCAATTATAAGTTGATTGTTCCTTGAGTGAGTGAGTGAAGGTTTGTAGACTCAAGAAGACAAAGACAATTGGTCTTTATAGTTGGTTCCTTGAGTGACTGAGTGAAGGTGTGTATACTCAAGAAGACAAAGACAGTTGATTTTGTTGTTTACAATAGTGACATGTAGTCTTGTTGTGCTTCTGTAATCATTTTAGTTATAGTGGATTAAGTCCTTATTGAGAAGACAAAATCACCTTTGCGGGTGAACTGGACTAACTTTGTTAACAATGAACTAGGATAAAAATAATTGTGCTCGTTGATTTTTATTCTTCTATTAATCGTTGGTGTTTGATTTTGAAGAAATTTTTAATTGAGAAACCCAATTCACCCCCCTCTCCCTCTAATTTCTTGTGTTTCTTGCACCTTCAGATTTGGTTGTACCCGAAGTACACATTCAAGATACTTGACATTTTGTACCCCGAAGCTTTGTCAATAAACTTTTCTATGTTAGGCATGAGATAAGGATCCTTGGGACATACCATATTAAAATCGTTGAATCCTACGCATTCTTTCATTTACCCAAGGATATTTTCATCATCATGTAATTGGCCAACCATGTGAGATACTTATATCATTTATGAACTCTCTCTCTCTCTCTCTCTCTCTCTCTCTCTCTCTCTCTCTCTCTCTCTCTCTCTCTCTCTCTCTCTCTCTCTCTCTCTCTCTCTCTCTCTCTCTCTCTCTCTCTCTCTCTCTCTCTCTTTTCATTTCTTTTGTATGTTTGGTTTGATGCTGATGTTTAGAGAGAAGTGGTGATTGGTGACATTCACGTCTATTTTCAACATATCCGAAAGACTTTAGGCGAATAAATCCACATTTTTCTAGACTAAAAAAATTAACTCTTCCTCTTCATCCTATTTACTACCATGTAATATATGTACTTCTAAGTCCTTCCCTATTAGTTCTACAAACACCTTGTTCACTACTCTCTAGCAGGTGACACTAGTGTTCTTGAGGCCAAAAAGTATCACCTCATAATAATAATAATAATAATAATAATAATAATAATAATAATAATAATAATAATTACAAGTGTTAGTCATGAAGACAATCTTAGGTGTTTCTAAGGGTTTTATCTTGATTTGGTTGTATCAGAAGTACACATTCATGATATTCGATATTTTGTAACTCGAAGTTTTGTCAATCAACTTTTCTATGTTAGGGATTAGATAAGGATCATTTGGACAACCATATTAAGATCGTTGAAGCCTACACATTCTTTCATTTACCCAAGGATTATTTCATCATCATGCAATTGGCCAACCATGTGAGATACTTATATCATTTATGAATTTTGCCTCCCTCTCTCATTTTCATTTCTTCTGTATGTTTAGTTTGATGACGATGTTTAGAGAGAAGTGATGACTGGTGACATTCACGTCTATTTCAACATATCAGTAGGATTTCATGCGAGTAAATCTACATTTTTTTAGAGTAAAAAAATTTCGTTTATGAGGCACTTAGATTTGTAGTCTGGAAACTTCAGGGGTTCGATCTAAACCTCTTTAAGATCTTCTGTTGGGACCAATATATCCTTCAAGTATTCTTCCGTTAAGTCTAAGTCCACAAAATTATCATTTTTGGCGTTTGGTCAGGGTGGCGAGCTATCAATAATTTTTGCACTCTTTATTATGAGGATATTTTGATAGCATTTCTGGCCACTTCTCAATTTCATTTCATGATCCTTATCCGCTTATTATCTAAGGGATATCTCATGATAATGTAGAGCATGAATAGAACTGCCTCCAAGATATTGGATGTACGAAGTCTAATTATTATGTTGTACAATAAAGATCATTTATTACAACATTTCTAATTTTGATGGTCTTTGCTTTCTCCCCCTCTCTAAAAGTTGTGTTGATGGGGATAATATCACAAAACTTATACATATTCGTATGAGAAACCTATTAGAGAACATCTTTAAAGGCTGGAAAATGTTTAGGATCTGGTTACAACAGTTCAAGATGACCCAATATGGGATGTTGGCAAAATTGTTGAGGTCAATAAATACTAGTTTTATGTTTTAGTTAAATATATGCACAAAGATTACCAATAGATCATCCTCATGAGATAGGATTTAGACGATGTCTATGTGAGAAAGTGTCTTCCAAAACAAAAGATATTTGAAGTTACCTAACAAGCATATTATTTGCACGGGTAACTCGACTCCCCATCTCTAGCAAATCTTTAAATTATAGTGTTGAGGATGTGACATGCAGGTTTTCCTTCTCTTCTTTCTTGTTCTTTATCTCTTCTAAATTGGAGACTTATAGGCCTATTGCTTCTTTCTTCTTGTTCTTTATCTCTTCTAAATTGGAGAGTTATAGACCTATTGCGTCCAGAGGTCCGATATGAAATTAGGACTTCTTTTTCACAAGCTTTCTTTGTGCCATTTAATTGAGTCATAACATTCTCCCCCTGTTCCCTAAAGCCTAATCACAGAAAGTCTAATGTTGCTAAGATATGTAAGCAATACAACAATTATTCCGGCATTAAACTCATAAAGCGTAGTAGAAGAAACCTTTGTTGCTGTTTATGCGGTTCATGATCACCATGTGTGCTTTCAGTTTAGAAAAAGCAGTATGATAACCCTATCTTTTACTAGAAGCTATAATGAGTGTGATTCGGTACTGTAACAAACAACAAAAATCACATAAACATCGAAGAGAAAGTATATAGGACTTCCATCACCTATTATCTGTCTCCACCATGCCACCCACTATAATTCATTTTCTATAATTTCATGTCTTGTGCTTCTCACCACATCACCATCACTTTAAAAGCTGGGTCACCCGACATCTCAAACCTAGTCGTCCCAATAATTGCCGCACAGGAGTCAAACACTCCCTTACAAATTATAAATCATGTTTTTACTTTTAGATTTAACAACTTAACTATTTAACCCTATCCGAATTATATCTGACTAAATAAAACTATGTTGGCGATTAATTAAAATTTTATATAGAAGATTAAAAAGAAGTGAGAAAAATGAGCAAATTACAAGTGGGACCCGTATCAGCCTTACTCTACCAACTACAATGATCCTCACACGAGAAACTGAGCGTGGTGCCTATTCATGATGAGGATACTGCTGCTGCGGCTGCGAATTGCGTTGTCGTCCCTTGCGCGTATCAACAACCGCTGATTGATGCGAGTCACAAACCTGAGTTTTAAACTTGCAACCGAGTTTCTTTCCCAGGGACGCCCTCCATCCACCGCCGTGTGCGGCGGGCTTTTCAATCTTCTCAATCACTCTCTTCATCGAGGAACACTCCCGTTCCAGCTGATGCACCCGCGTCCTCATGCTATCCATATCCAAGCGCAACACCTGATTCTCCCTCACCGTTACACGCCACGTGCTGTTCTCTTCCTGCACGTGCTCTGATTCTAACGTTAACCGTAATGGTTCTCCTCCTCCTCCGTCTTCCTCTTCGCGTTCAAGTGCAGCCGATTGACGGCCTATCTCCGTACCTGTCTCCGCCGCTATCAGCGTCTCGGCAATGGCGTGACGAAGCTGTAACTGCTCGAAGAAGAGTACCTGAACCACCGCGCGTAGTGGAAGTCTCTCGTTTTGCGCCGCGTGTGTGCATGCTTCTAGCGTTAGCTTCTGACAGTCCAGTAATCCGCAAATCTTCTCCCTATCCGATTCCGAAACCCATGGATGTGCCTGCAATATTGCAATCAACATACCGAATCTAAAAATTCATTTTCTCAAAAGGTAAAGTAAAAAATTAGTAACGGAAATTGATTGATACCTTGAGATACACATCAACCGCACGGTAGAGACCGTCGTCGAAGAGCCTTGCCTGATCTGGAAGAGAGATTGCGAATTTGTAGAATCTCTCTGGCTTGAGATTCGCGTCTGAAGCTATTTCAGAGAGATATCCGTCAATGAGTTTCCCGACGAGCATCATCGCCGGGGTCATCGCGGCGGCTTCGCCTTCTTCGATTGCCTCTGCGACTGTTTCAACGGCGAGGTTTCTTGCTTCGAAGCCATTCAAAAAATGAGATAAAATCCTCTCTACGCAACCAACATCGTAAAGCGTTTCGTTCAGATACGAATAACTCGGGACGAGAAGATCATCGAGTGTGGCTTCTTCAAGCTGTAACCCTATCTTCTTCTCCAAAGAGTTTCTACATGCTTCGGAAGCGTTTAGTATGTTCGCGGTTCGCAGCAATCCGAATAGAAACCTCGTCGCCGTGGCAGAATTCAAATTCTTCTCATGTGGAAGATTCGAAACAACTGTTTCCAGAATCTCTTTCTGCTCCGTCTCTGATAAAACCGACGAGGACGACGATAACGGTTTTCGACTTGATCTGGAAACACCGGGAATGTACTTCTTGGCGTAATACATTACGCAGGTTTCAATAATCTCAGGGTTAAGCTCTGCATCTCTCATAGCCAGAATCAATCTCTTGAACAGAGGCAAACGCAGAAGCGCCAGATCTTCAAACCAAGACTCTCCGGCTGCACCGTTTCTTCTTCCGGCAGCATCAATTCCATTCCAAAGGATCTGTTTAGATGCGGACGCAATGACCTCACTCACAGGCCAACCAAACAACGCAGGATCCGCCGACGAAGCTCTGGAGATAACCGAATCGATGCACCTCTCCGTGATTCCTAAATCGTCCGCCATGGGAACCAACCGCTCACATGATTTTAGGGTTTTGATTGAGTTGCCAAGGCTCTTGAGCACATGCTGTGAGATGAACTTCTCTGTCTTGGAGATGAGATTATCCTCCGAGTACTCTTCTGTCATATCAAGAAACTCACCGGCGCAACGGAGTGAAGCTACATTGGACGGTGACAGTTCCATTTTAACACCGTAACAGAATTTAGCCGCCATCTCAAACGCCTCGGAGCCGCCAGGGAAATCAGTAAACGTCACATGACACTGTTCTTCCACGATTTCATCTTCATCTTCTTCGTCCTGTGGGACGGTAGAATGCGTTATTGCTTCTGCTTCTTGCTGGGTTATCAGGTCATGAAGCTTTCTGCTCTTTGACATCAAAGGAAACTGAAATAGGTATTGAAAATAAATTTTATTGTTGTAGCTACTACAATTAGAAATAACCAAGTTTCTATGCATTTGTTTTTAAGTGCATAAAACAAAATGAATAGTTTTGTTCTGTATATTGTTAGACTTACCTTGTGAAGATGAAAGGTCATGTCATCCACTTCAACCACAATGTCACTTGGTAATCCAGTGGTACAGAACCATGCTTGCCCTTTGGAGCTAGGTTTTTCAGATGATGACATTTTTCTCTGTAAATTATATATGATTCTTTCTTGTCTAGGAATCTCAAACTAGGCTAATGGAAAGTCAGATCCATGAATATCACTAGGATAGTAAAACTTTCAGTTAGAACTGGAGACACTGAAAATATTATGTGGGGTGGGTAGTTCCCAGAATTATGATAGTCTTCAAGAGGTGAAATAGACTTGACTTATACTCAGCACTTCAATACCAATTGGAAAAAAAGGGAATAGAAGAGGAGAATGAAAGAAATTGTTTGTTTGTGCTTTATGTTGAGGTTTTTATGAAACAAAACAAAGGAAGAAATTATACTTTAAGAAAAAGGAAAGTAGTAATAATAATTAAAGTTATTATAAAAAATATAAAAAAAGCGGTAAAACAGAATGGAATCCACAAACTCAAAGAGGACAAATGAACCTTGATCAAAATTCTTAAAAAGGGGGTCAAATTGGAACGTTTTTCCTCCCTTTACCAAACCTTATATCCTTTTTTATTTTCTATGAATCAAATCAGAATCTCATTCCCACCCACTATTACTCTCTATTAGGGCAAATTCATTTCAACAAAAATAAGGTGCATCAGATGATTTTTCTTCTTTAAACCCTTGAAAAGGCAATGATAACTTATTAGCCCATATGTCATATTTTCATTGCTTGCCAATCAGTTTATTGCACTTGCGTATTTTACAATTATGGAGTTATTTAAAAATGGAATTCTCAATTCATGACCTATTGACTTGCTCCACTTTTAATAATTTATTATTGCTATCAATTAACGGTATATTAGAATGAATAGGTGAGACAATATCTCACTTAAGCTTGTTAACCAATGTAATATATAATTATTAATGATAATTGGCTTCACTAGAGCATGCAATTCATGAAGTCATTTCCTATTTTAGTACTAGAAATTAAATAAATAATTATTAATTGATGTGATTAGCAATGTACTAGTACATGTTTGCTGTCATTGATAGAGAATAAATTATACTGGCACCGTTTGGAAATGTATTTGGGAAGAGCCTAAGCTAAGAGCAATATTTTTAGTAGTTAGATGTAGCTAAATGGATAGAAATTTTGCTATAAGTAGCACATGGTATATTAAAGAAAGTTGCTTGAAATCAATCACCAAATCAATTCTGTTTTGATTTTCAAATTTTTGAAGTTACCAGCTCTAGTCCCCTTGGATCCTTCTTTTCGAAATGTAATAGGACTACTCTTAGAACAAAAAGATTTTATTTGAAATAAAATACACAAGAAAAAGTTATCTTCATTTATGTTGGTATATCTACCCTCGTTACTCTTGGCTTAGAATTTATGACTGCCTTTAATGTGTAGACAGCTATCGTAAGGTACATTATTCCATTCACAAGTTCAAAGTGAATGGAGGGTATTTTTCAAGTTTTCAAATTGAGACAAATGAAAGTAATGTGAAGAAAACAAACAAATGTTTGGGGCGATAGTCCAAGAAGAAAAGTCTTAAGCGTGGGAGAAAAAACTTGAGGAAAAGGTCAAAAATAGACCACTTACTCCATGACCGTAGTCTATATAATATGGGTTTTACTATAGCTGGATGATAGACTAATTATTTGAGAATGTAGATTAATAGGCAATAGGTATGTTTTGTTACTGCTAATCATGTGTTTGGTGGCTGACTATCATTCGGTTTAGAAGAGAGTTTTCATACTTTCAATAATACTATAGGAGTACTAGTAGCTTATTAGCCTCACTATTGCGCATTCTCGTCTCTTAAGTGAAAGTGAAAAGGACTAATTAAAGACACATACCAAGACTAAAACTACTCAAAAGTCATATCATTAGCAATTAAACTTAAACTAAAACAAAAAATAAAATAAAGAAAAAATAGATATTGCGTATTTTAGAGTTACACGAATTTTATTTATAACACTAACCATATAGCTTACTACATGAATTATGACATTAATTTTCTTCTAGTATTTAATATAACATTTCTGCACTAGAATAGAAAATAGATGATTTGTTGAAGACGACTATTGTAGTGAGGCTTTCGACATGGTGGTGATGACTTTTCAAAGATTAGATGGGGTACATATAAAAAGGTTAGCATTTTGATGCTCATGTCAATATATGAGTGGGATACAAGTTTATAACTCTGAGTGAAATTATACATGAGTGTAATTTAAAGACACACTTATAATTATCCTTAACTTATCTGGTCTGTCTGGTGTGTGATGTGTAGGCAACCGTTAGATGAGGGTCAATGATTTTGATGTAATGAGGATTGTGTTCATGTGTGGTGCCCAAGAAAAAAAAAAG